CGCCAGAAATCCCGCCACCTTCCCGCTTGGCTGGGCCGTCCTGCGAAGGTTCCCGGAGTCCCCGCACGCTGAACAGCACCGCAGGTGCAAACGCGCACCCCTTTCCCACCCACCCCCCAAATCCCCGTCCCGCCACAAGCTTCCCTCCCCACGATGGGGTGAGGGAGCGCGCGGGGCTTCCCGACTCTCTAGACTGCAACCAAGAAAGAATAATTTTCAAAGTATTCAACATCCCCGCCCCCAGGCAAGCTAAACCTCCCCCAAAACGCAGGGGAAGGGGACACCAAAACACTCGGATCTCGTTAGGAAGATCACGGCTCTGAAAAGAAAGAGGAGAACCCCATACTTCAACTGGGTTTATGAAAAACAAAAAATAAAAACAAAACGAGGAGTTCGCTTGCATTTTTCCTCCCAAATCTCGGCTCGGAGGTAGGGAATCTAGAGGACCAAGGCCGGTGGAAGGGAGCCAGCGGGGCGAGCGAGCGGGCAGCCTCCCTCCTCGCCTCCCGGAGTGACCAAGAAGGACGTGAGAGGGGAAGGAAGGAGAGGCGAGGGAAAGGAGGGAGGGAGGGAAGGCGAAGCTGGAGCGAGGGAGCAAGGAAGGCAGTTTGCAAGCGAGAAAAGAGGGAAAAAACACAGCCGCACGAATCCAGCGAGATCACAAGCCGTACGCAAGCAGCAGCAGAAAGAGCGAGAGCGCTAGCGCGCGTCCTCTCCGCCGTCTGGGGCCAGACAGCCCCCAGACTTGCCCGAAACACCACCCCCCCAAGCACTGTCTCGTCCTTTCTGCTCCGGCCGCCCCCTAATTCCCCTCCTTCCTCTCCTCCACCTCCTTTTCAAAAACCAAAACAACACAAGGGAGGGTGGCAAAAGCCTCCCCAAACCGGCCAATTCACTCAAAGACAACAAGAATAAAATAGTAAATATATAAAAATCTATATCCTAGAGTGGGAGAGACGTGGGACTAATCTTCGGCATTTATTTTAACACCTGACAGCTACAATAAATAAATATATACATTTACATCAATAGATACACATAGGAAACTTGTAGCCAAAGCATTTGGCAAGAGCGGAAAAAAAAGAATTAAAAGGTAAAATAATGATCATGAGCAGCGGCGGCGGCAGCGGCACCAGCGGCAACAGCGGCGGCGGCGGCGGCAGCAGCAGCAGCAGCGGCGGCAGCAACAGCAATAATCACCTGGTGTCCGGCCTTTCCTAGAAACTTCTTGCATCACCACTTCTAAGAACCCCAGTTCTAAGAATCAACAGAGCTCAATTCTCGGAATTTGAGCTGCGGGCCTTACCACTGCTACGTGGCAGGGGAGGACTCGGTGTCAGCTCTCCGCGACTTTTGCCTGCTTTGGCCCATAAAAAACCCTCAAAGCCACAATATTTTCCCACTGTCCGGCATATTTCGGGTTCCTCACAGGCTGGGCGTCTCGGGCTTGGAGGTTTCGGTGTGAGGCTCGAGGGGCCAGACGGCGGCTCTCCCTCCCCGGCCCCCGGACGATGGTACAGCCTGCTCCGCCACCGTCACGTGGGCGCCTCCTCTGTGACGTCGGCGTCTTTGCTGTAGCAAAGCTCGGCCTCTGGAATTCTGAGAACTAATTTGCTATTCGGTGACATAAGAGGGGGAGTGCGCTTTGCTTTCCCGGGGTCTGGGGCTAATTCCTCCTCTCTTCCCCGTAAACTCAGCTCCTCGAGCTCAACACACAAAAGGGAGCGAGAGGTTCGAACCTTTGGGAAAAGTCTGTTATATATAGTAGGTTTCGAGGCGAGTAAGAGAAAAAAACAATAAACACCACAGCTCTTTCCAGCTAGAATATTAGGCACCACGAGAAAAATATTTGCCAAGCAGTTTTCGGTGGGTTCATTTGCTTTATTTTTATTTGGGACACTTTTGTTTTTTGTTTTTTTTTTCCTTGTTGGTGTGGTGGCTCGGGATTTGGGGTTATTGTATTTTGATGGGTTTCGGATTTTTGCTTCTGATTTTTGCCTTTTGCAACTTTGTGATGTTACGTAAATCATAGGATCCCGCATCGGTTGGATTTTGTTTTGAGTGTTTTTGCCCCAATCTCATCTCTCAAGCGCTTTACGGAAGATGTGTTATTTTTTAATACTGATACTATTGAAAGAAGCTTGAATTTTTTGTCGTATATGTTACATCCCAACCCCCATTTTTTGGGGGGTGGGGAGGGTACAATTTTCTTTCTCCCCGTGGACTTTTACTGAGAGGACGCTCCCCTGCACTTGAGAGACATGTTCAAAGGATTTGTTTTGGTTTGTTTCTTTCCAGGACAGCAAGTGGTGGGTTTACTCTTTCTGTTATTGTTGACTCTTAGGAAATTTCTTGCTGCGAGAAACGTGTGTGTATGTGGGTGTGTGTATGCGTGTGTTCTACAAAATTCCGTGAGCCAAATACATGTTTGTGCTTTGCATTTTCTTAAGGTCTTCATTCCGCCCCCCCTCCCCCCGGCCCAGCTCGCTTCAAGGTCGTTGTAAAAAATCTCTCCTGTCTGTGTTTAAAGAGATCAGCCGGAGGGAATTCTAAAGGCCTACCGTGCCAGTATCACAGATACTGCGTGTGTTTAGAACAGACTGTGCTACAACTACAACGCGCTGCACGCAGCACAGTCCTCTTAGCTTTAGAGCTGAGTTTCGAGGAGGAGGAGGAGGAAAAGGGGGAAATCTTTCTTTCTTCCTTACTTCCTTTCTTTTTAAAGGCAAATGCAGTGCAGAATCATTCCACTGTGGGCCTTGGTTTGTTTATTCAGAACTGCCAGTTTCCCTATTTAAATATTGGTTGGGGTTTTTTCCCCTCCTACTCATCCCTGAATGAGGGAGACTCTTGTTTCTTTTATGTCTCTCTCTTAAAAGAACGGTGTGAGGGGAAAATAATATTTCAGATTCCTCAAGTATTAACCCCAAATGTTTGGACCAGAAGCAGCTTTCAAAGGTCAGGCTGTTCTGAGCCTTGGCTATGAGAGTCCTTCAGGCAACTCATTAAATTACAGACGAGTTCTTAAAGGTTCCGCAAAATTTCTGCACATGTTAATTTCCAATAAAGATATCTCCCAAAATAATCTACCTCTCCCAACCCCAGTTTGGGTTTATAGAACTGAGCAGAGCTATGAAAGACTGCTGGCTGTTTCCTGGGATATTTGGGGTCTCTTTCCCAGAATGCCATAAGAAGTTCAGATCTATCGCTGAAAATGTGGTTGTCAATGCAGCCCCCTTTTGGAAAAGGCTGTGTTGGGGTTTTTAAAACCAGGAGAGATCCAAAGGGGTCGACTATTTTCACAAGGGCTGGAGCTTAGGAAATATGCGTAAGTGTCTGTCCCTGTGAAATCTGAATATTTTAATACTTATTGACAGATGAATTACTGCAGTCTCTGCAGAAAAGCCTGTCTTGTGAAGGATTTTTGAAAAATATACACAGGCCTAATGCTGTCACTGTTGTCAAAATGAACATTTTACCCCCAAAGACACATGATGTCATCCAGTGCAGATCCATTTGGCCAGAAGGGAGACTATTTGTTTTTCTGATTGTCCCCTTCCCCCTCATTTTCAAAGCGTTTTAAAGGAATCCCACTGGATTCAAAATGACACCCCGATTTTGCTGAAGTGATGGTCTTTGTGTATTTGTATGGGTGATAATTTTTCTGTCTTTTATGAGTAATAAGAACTTTAGGGTTTCTCAGGTGTCTGTATGGTTTGGAATGTGAATTGTAGGGCTCTGCCCTATTACTGATCCTACAGTGAGATTACTTTTGTGATTTGGGGTCACTTTTCTTGTCAAAGTTGCCATCATGCCTCATTGGCTCCCCCCTCCCCCTTAAATACATAGCTTGCCCCTCCCTCGTTCTCTGTGCCACGCCAATCTTAGCCCCATGGGGGCGCTGCAGAGCAAAGGGAAATCTCCCTCAGACAGCAGAACAAACCAGAGCGGGGGCTGGGAATGAATTCACCCTTCTTTAATTCTCTGCGGAGAGCCCTTGGAGGAAGACCCCACCAGGCCTGGTTTGTAGATAATTAATCCTACCGCCAGGGACCGCAAACCTTCTCAGGACGTTATTTCTGGGACCCAGTGCCAGGGTCCCACATTTCTACTTTTTTTTTTTTTTTTTTTGCCAAATTGAAGTGTTTACACCGAAAGAAATTAACCAGAACAGGAGACGGTTAAATGAAAAAAAAAAAAAATTATTGAAGCTATTTTAAAGATGCAGATTTACTTTTAGGTAGGTCCCCTTTTCTCTACGGGATGAATGGTGAGGCAAATCGTGTACCCACCTCTCAATCTCTTTTCAATTCCTAGGAAAGTAACTTTATCAGATTTTATACCAGTTGAATTTCTTCCAGAATGCCTTCTCTCATTCTTGATCTCTCCCCAGTAGTAACCAGTTGGTGTCACTTTGTGGACCTCCCTCATTCCAGCAGTGCTAGGATTAAAGAAAGGATTGAATTGAATATATTCAAATTCTTTTAAATCATCCTTAAGAAGCTCTAAAGAGAGATTCCATGTCTGGGGTCTTATGTGTGATTCCTGTGGGCTTGGAGGGGCTGTGTATCAACCAGTCTTATGAGGTAATGGTTTCTGGCTATTAATACTCAGAGTAGAGGACCAGGCCAGCCCCTTTGCCTGGGGTTCCGGGCATAGTAATAGGTTACTAATCACAGGTTCTGGGTAAATAAAAGCTTTGTTACAAAATAGAATAGCTTGGTCTTAATATTACATCTATTTAAGGAAAGGAACAGATTTTGCATCCAGTTCCCCCCAGAGAATCTTCCCCACCATTCAATCATAGCTGAAAAGGAAACTATCCTTGGAATAAGCACTGTCCTGTCCTCTTTCTAAGGGGACTCCAAACAGGAAATTGGTTTCACCTGTCAGGAACTTCTGGCACCTTGGTAGATCTTTAAACTATCACATCGCAGAATTACAGATTTTAGAACTGGAAGGAACCGTGAAGATGATCACTCAAGTCTTCTTTCTTTCAGGACAGGATAGTCATCACTGGAGGTGTGTGGGACCCCAGGACACAACTGAAAACGGGTCTTCGTGGTTTGATGGTCCTGTGTTAGAAAATCGGGGTGATCTGACTACCTGGGTTTGGAGATGGGCATCTTGTTTTCTGGCAGAATTGAGGAAAGCAAGGCTGCTTTGGGCTGTGTGTAAGTTGTAAACTGGTTCTCAGAACAGACTCCAGGTCACAGTGAGTATTGAGTTTTGATTGTCATCTGGGCTTGGCTATGCTTGTCACCTGTGCTATGGTACTCAACAGCTACTTTTGATGGGTATGGGAGATCTTATTTACCCATTAGTTTTATTTCAAATCCTTCACTTAGAGCCATTATAAACAAGCTCCTTACATTATCCTTGGAGAAAGAAAGGTGTTTTCTTGGTATGATTTAGAGAAATTGAGCAGAAAGTTTTGAGACATTAAAAAAAAAAAAAGATGATTTCCAGCCACTACCTTCAGAAAAACAAGTGTCAACATTTAATTTTGGTCCATATGCTGCCTGCTTTTGGCCTGTATTATCCTGAGACCTTTTTTTTTTTTTTTTAGTTTAGAAACCTTTTTGACCTAGCTCAGAGTTTCCCCCCAAAACACGGATTTTTTCCACACTTTTCTCACTTATTTAAAATGGAAATAAATATCTCGGGAGCTTAAAATAGAGAAGTGATGGGGGGGTGCATAATCATTTGTCTACAGCACTCTATCACTGTTTTGAATAACAGGGTTTTCACTTCCTATGAAACCTTAGCATGAGGGAAAGCAGCAGCTGGACCAGGAAGGGGATGCAGGGAGGAAAGCACTTGAGTGTTTGTGAACTCAGGGTGGCTGGCCCACCGGGCTGCTGTACTTAGCTGTCTTTACTACCTAAGGCTAGAAGTGGAAAAACTTGATTTGCGTGTTGTGCCTGCATTTTTTTTTTTTTTCCTTCTCCACACCGCCCTCTGTACACCTGACCATGCTGAAGCCTATCTGAAGCCGGCTTGACGGCAGGGAGAGCTGGAGAGCGGAAGAATGTGCTGAGAAAGGGAGTGCTCGGTACTTTTCCATTCACATCTCCACAGTGGCTTTTCTTGTTTATTTCAACCTCCACCAGCGGAACCCTGTCAGCTGCCTGAAATCCGAGTCATTAAACTGTTCCCTGAGGTCAGACCACAGATGCTTGGTGCATGTTTCCTACATGTCGGTGTCTATGTAACATATGTACATACAGAGACACACGCACAAACGTGTAACTCCGCGGGGGCACAGTGTGAGGTAGGGGGGAAAAAACATGGATTTGTTGCCAGAAAACCTTGGTTTCTAATTACCGTTCTGCCTGGAACTCCTTATGGGACGCGGAGCAAAACCACTTATCAGGACTCAGTTTCCTCAACTGTGTGAAGGAATAACCCAGATGGTTTGCAGCACAGTCTATCTGTTCTAAATTCGATACCTTGTGTCTAAATATATATTTATGTAACTTTAAGGTGGAGGGGGGGATGGAAAGGAGCTGAGTGAATGTGTCCCTGGGGTGGGAAAAGAAGTTAAAATGTAAACTTCTAAGTAAAGAAGGCAGTCCCAGAATCTTCACCTCTATCAATTTTTAACCAGTTGTAGACCAAAGTCTGGGATTCTGCTGAGTAGGTCCAAAAGCCAAATGAAGATTTTAAATGTTAAGAGTTGGAAGGGGCCGATTCTAAGACCTTGTACCTTTGATCTCCTGCATTCATAATCGGATGTGACAGTTCCCAAGTGTCTTTTCTGCACTAGAGTTCTTTTTTTTTTTTTTCCTTCTTCTGTTTTTGGAAACAGTCCCAGTCAGTGATAGGAAGGAGATGACACTTGTAAACTGGGCACACCTTAAGCCGCTGGGCCCCATGTGGATGTAAAAAAATATGACATAATATTCATATACATACACACACACAAAAGAAGGAGAAAAAAAAAGAAAAAACTAGATAGAGATTCCTGGTAAGAAACTTAGAGGTAGTTCAACCATCACTGCATTAAAGGTAATTATGTGACGTCAGAGGAAATAACAGATGAGGAGTTTGCCCTTACCAAAAAAAAAAAAAGCCTTACTCTACCAGAACAAACTTGAAGGTAACTCTCCACCAATATTTCCTATGCTTCTTTTATCTCCATTCTTTAAAAAGAAAGGTCTAATGTTTCTCAGGCCTGATTGCCTAGCAAAGCCTTTAACGGACCTCAGCATCTTCAGGACATAATTTAAAGTGTAGTTCCTGTTTATTAACAGTGACCTCCCCACCACCACCATCCCTCCTCTTAGACCTTCTGCAATATTGATGCCCATGTACAAGGAGAGATGGAGCCAATTACATTCTCTCAATGAAATACTATTGAGAGTTACAATATGCTAGCACTGGGAAGGTCCTTAGCAACTGTCCAATTCCACACGACTGAATTTATATCATTGGAAATTGAGGCCCACACAGAATGTATTTGCCACACACACTGGATCAGACTGAGCCAGGTCCAAAATTTTGATGTCCTGGTTCTAAATCCACTATGTTTGTCCCTGGTTTATCATGAAAAGAGGACGTGGGGTGGGCAGCCCTGCAAAAGAGCCATTTGCTGTGTCCTTACGTTCAGAGAAGGCCTCACATTAGACTTTTGACATCATCTCCACTGAGGTTCTACATCAGTCTTAGCCGTACACAGACAGGATGGAAAGGAGCAGACCCTCATCCACAAGTTCTCTGTGTGTGTCCCAGGGTAGGACCCAGTGTCAGAGCCGCCACAGGCTCCTACGGTACTGTGATTTAATACTGTTAATAAACCTATACTTATCTTATGAATAGTACAATTGCATTGTAATTGTGTGTACGCTGGTGTTGAAAATGTAAAATTTAATATATTTTTGGCCTAGAAACAACGATGCTACACTAGCAAAGAGCCCACCTGGTACCAGATCTTGATTTCTGATACTTCTGTGCAGTAATGGAAAACAAGGCTCCTTGGAGAAACGTCTGGTTCTAGATCTAGGACTGGGGCAAGAAGTATTCAAAATTAGAATGGAACATCTTATAGCATCATAAATAAAGAATTGCTGAAAAACAAACAAAAACTACATCGATGGGGCATATTTCAAAGAGACACTGGAGCCACTTGAAGAGCTCCCAATGGGCAAAGCTGGAAGATTTGGAGTAAAAAAAAAGAAATCAAGTCATATTAGATTACAATCCAAAGTCTAAAAGAAATATCCATGAATCCACACTGATATAAATTATTAAATAAATTAATAAATCAGAGAAAAGAGACAAATCTCCCTTGAAGAAAAATTCCAAATCATTTATGTAGATACACTGCCAGCAAGGATGGGGGCAGGGGGCGGTGTGTAACTCCTCACTCCTCAGGTGTGAGCTATGCACAGTGACTTCCTTCCAAAGAGTACAGTATGGGAAGGGAGGAAAGGAGGGAGGGAATCATTTTACATGGAGAAACCTGACAAACACTACACCAGCCAATTCACCAAGGTGAACATCAGCAATTATAAGCCATGTTGATTGTTATGTACCTTTGATCTGAGGAGATGAAAATGGCTTTTTACCTCTGTGGTCTTCCTCCCACACCCCAGTCTATTTATGAGAAAAGTCTCAGACAAGTTTCAACAGAAGGGCATCCTACAAAAGACGTCACCAGTATTCCACAGAACTATCAAGGAAAGTCTGAGAAATTGCAGCAGCTGAGAGCAACCTCAGAAGATATGACAGCTTAATGTAATGTAGTATCCTGGATGGGATCATGAAACAGAAAAAGATAAGGTAAACCCAGACAAATCTGAATAAATGAGGAGCTTTAATTAATAATATTGTATCAGTGTTGTTTCATTAGTTGTTACAAATGTACCATAGTAATATAAAATGTTAATAATAATGGGAAACTGGGTATAGGGTTTTTCTCTGCACTATCTTCTCAATTTTGCTGTTTAAAAAATATTTGGGGAGGGCATATCCTTATTTATTTATTTATTTTTCAATACCAGAATCCTCCAAAAATGAGCTAGGTCTCTTGAAATCTGAGAGATTTTCTTCCCAGTCAACCATGCCCCCCAGACAGAGTCAGGAAAATGAGGGAACCTGCGTTTATTCTTTTAGTTTACTAAATTGAAAGCAATTTAGCTAATTTCTCTATGTCACCATCTGGACACAGAACTGTGAGGAGAACACTTAGGAAGCACCAAAGGCCAAGTGTTGTCATGGTGGTGGATGACTCAAGGCACCTCATCAATCTGCTTACTCCACATTTCTTTCTGAAAATCCTCCACGGAAACAAGGCCCTGAAAGATCTAGCTATCAGTCCATAGTAGACATATGATACTTAGGGATTCATCACTGAGGTTTGGGGAGCCTCAAGACCTTCCTAGAATGTCTGGTATCTCATTGTACAACTCCAAAAGAACTGTGGACCTCATCAGAGTTTAACTCTGGGTCTAGAGAAGAATGCTAACTGGACCCTATAACTCTATGAATTTGTCTTCATTATCTGAATATGACCCCATTACCTAAACTAGAAAAATCCAGAGAGGGAAATGGTTTGCCAAGACCATCCCACAAATTAGTGGTAGAGTTGCTTCCCATCAACCAGTCCACCCTGAATCATTTATTTTGCTGTAGTATTCCCTTTAGTAAACTAAGGACTGCTATTGCATTGATATACATTATTTCAGAAATGCCTCATTCATTTCTAACCACCTGTCAGTTACCAGTGGTGTCCAGTTCCAATGGGAGCTTAGGTGTCTCTTCCTTCTTTCCCTTCACCTTTTCCCACTTGCATCAGCCTCTCTGCCAAGTGGTTATAGATCTTTGAACCAACACTGATATTCACTATGGAGGCTGACATCTAAATTCTTCTTGGTGAGATGAGGTAAGACTGAATGCTATCATAGTCCAATTTGGTTATCATTACTGTCAGCAATCTGTTTGGTTACATGTCTCAAGAATCATAAATGTAGTCATGCCCTGTGACCCAGTAATTCTACTTCTAGGAATCTATCTTCAAGGCATAATTCAACATACAGGGGAAAAAATCTTTGAATGAATATATGCATTCAAGCATTATATCTAGCAACAAAAAAGTTGAACAACCTACATGTTCCATCATGACTGGGTTGGAGGGAAGGGTATTGGATGGAGAATGGTTAAATATAATACAACTAATTTTTAAAAATTAGAATTGGAAAACACGGTAACAGGTAAAGCGAAAAGCAGTATATATATATGTATGTAGTGTATTTATAACTTTACATATGTATGTAGTATATTTATTTACTATACATAAAAAATAAACTGGATATAAACAAAAGTACACAATTAACAAAAAACTATTTACATGGGCTGTCTTAGGGTAGTAGGGTTATGGATGCTTTTTTCTCCTTTTATTCTTTTCTTTATCTTCCAAACTGTGTAATGTTTATATATTAGTTTGATGTCCATCTATCTCACAAGCACACACTCAAGACACTGAAAAGCCCTAAGTGAAATCTTTTCAATGCAAGCAATTAGTCCTCTAATTCACAGTTTTGAATGTTTGACCTAAAGTTGAAGCCTCCCACATCTTTAGGGCCTAGAGCAAAAGTGAGAACTGCCCACTCATTCTTGGAGAAGACCTTTCACTCTGGGAGACTCTTGTCTCCACACCAACAAAACCTCACTCTTTCTGGGCACATTGACCATAATGAGATTAAATAGATCCTGTAAATCTTTGATCTGTCTCTGCCTGCTGGGTCTTAGTGTGCTTATCTTGTTTGTTGGTTATTTCACAGCTTTTGAAAATGTTAAAAGAGTTTCCTGGGGCTTCCCTGGTGGCACAATGTTTAAGAATCCTCCTGCCAGTGCAGGAGACACCATTTTGAGCCCTGGTCCCGGAAAATCCCACATGCCACGGAGCAACTAGGCCCATGTGCCACAACTACTGAAGGCTGTGTGCCACAACTACTGAAGCCCGTGCGCCTAGAGCCCATGCTCCACAGCAAGAGAAGCCACCGCAATGAGAAGCCCGCGCACCACAACGAAGAGTAGCCCCCGCTCGCCGCAACTAGAGAAAGCCCGCACACAGCAACAAAGACCCAACACAGCCAAAAATTTTTTAAATTAATTTAAAAAAAAAAGGGTTTCTTGGTTACTTTACTGTCTCCATGAGGCCACCCAGGAGCTCTCCTGGTAAAAAGACAGTCTTTGAGATGCTTCTGGGGCTAGAGGAGATTTGGTTTTCATTATTTTTTTTTTTGTTTTTGCGGTACGCAGGCCTCTCACTGTTGCGGCCTCTCCCGTTGCGGAGCACAGGCTCCGCACGCGCAGGCTCAGCGGCCATGGCTCACGGGCCCAGCCGCTCCGCAGCATGTGGGATCTCCCCGGACCGGGGCACGAACCCTTGTCCCCTGCATCGGCAGGCAGACTCTCAACCACTGCGCCACCAGGGAAGCCCGGTTTTAATTCTTATAACATGTGAATTCTGAGGAAAACAATTTAAAAATAAGCCCTATCAATGTTGTTTCCTTTAGAGAATCACAAGCTTGTTAGGAACTGGGGGTAGGTGGTTACCATTCTTTGAATCGCTGGTTCTTAGAAAAGGGCATGGGAATAGACGTCAGGATCTAGGAGGTGAGTTGAGGTAAGGACCATGGTTCTGTTAAGCCCTCTTCCCTTAAACCACTGATCTAATTCCTCATACTCAGCTCATTCATTCACTCGTTCGCACAACACACAGTTCATTGGCAGTCTTTTGTGGGTTAGACACTATTTTTCCTGAATACTGGGGAAATGAATATAAATACAACAGGGGATTCTGACCCCAGGGGACACACAGTCTACTGAGAAAAAATAAGGCGGAGAATGGTGCAAAAGCTTGCTTTAAGTCATGCAAACGATAGCCCCCTTGCCAGGCCAAACATCCTGATTCTGAGCCAAACTCTCTGGCCTCCTCCCAGAGGCTGTGTCCTACCTCCTGCTCCAGCACCAGTGTGAGGCACCGACTCCCTCCCTGGGCAGGTTCAGCCTCTGGGTTTTTCATCCAGTGTTGATTAGAACAGGATATAACCCAGCTGCCTCCATGCACCATCCAGTAATACCCAATACCCAATGCAAAGAAAATCCACAAGAGCCTGGGGCATACACAGCCTCACCACCACCATCACCAGGTTGGCTCAGCCTGCAGGCCAGAGCTGGACTGTGATTTTTACAACTTCGAGGGCCTGACAGGTTCTACCATGAACAGAGACATCACCCAGCATCATGCTATTCCAAAGCACACAGCCTCAAGTAGCATCCGCAGCCTGGACTCTAGCTCCCAACACCACCTCTAACAGGATCTAGACACCTAATAGATCCTGAAGCTTACTCAGCTAAACCCAAGTGTACCCCAACCCTCTGGGCATCCCAGACCTTTGGGTAATAAACTAACAGGTGATATAAACAGGTGCTAGCCCTGCACCCATGCCACTTTTCACAGCACCTTATTGCCAAGGCCCAGACTGCCTGAGGGTTGGGCCCATGTGCCAGGAGTCGTAACCATCTCCTTCCTATGGCACGTGCATAAAACCACCAGATACAATTTCAGCAATCTTACAATTAGCTGGAAGTCTAGCAGCTTTCAATGTCTCAACACCAAGGTTGCTAAGAAACACCCACCCTTTGGAGGGTGAAATGCCAGCAGAATGCTCAAAAGAAAATGGGACAGAAAAAGATTAATAATACCATTAATAAAGGCCATAATTTGGGAAGGTATATGGAAAAGACTTGACGATGGTGATGGTGAATCAGTAAATCAAGCACCTTAGGCCCTCAAACTTCTTTCCAATCCCGTCTCCTGTAAGTTTTCTACCCTAGACTCTTAGCATTCTCCAAGAACCCAGGCACTTACCTCCACTCCACACCCAGGTGTTGGTCGCTGCCTTTGGTAGGCTAGAAGCTCCTCAAAGACAAGAGAACTTCATTTTTGTTGTATTGGACTTGCATCCAAAACATGGTGCTCACTTAGGAAATGTCGACTGAATTCAAGTAGGTAGAACTGAAAGAGAATTCAGGGTGCAATCTGATGATCTGGGTTCCAGT